GGCCATTGATTGCTCCTTAAAGATAGGGTTAACAGCTTAGCAAGGTATGGGGAAAGGCCACTGTCCAAGGGCAGAACACAACATTTGTCACTCAAGTGGAGAAGGTGAATTTAAAGGGTACCATTTGGACTCTGTGTGATCATTTCCCTTCTCAGAAGAGACATCAACAGAAACCTTAATTCACAGTACCTCTCTGCCATGCCTCCTCGGCCCATGACAATCTTGGACCACCGAGGCTCCTCAGCTGATCCTGCAAGGAGCTTATCCCAAATCTGATAATGAGACCCAAAAGGGAAGTCTTATTAACTAACAAGGGATTGTTAAAAGTTGCATTTGACACCTAAATCTACTTTCAGGAATTAATATATATAGGATATTTTAGGTCTAGAAGGTACTACAAACCTTCATCTCTTTTTATTGTGTTGGAGCCAGGGGGCTGGAAAATATTTAGGGTCAAGATACTACAAGAACTTAACTGTTTCGTGGAAGCATGAGACTAGAAGAGAAAGATTTGAGGATAGTGACTTTGTAACATGATGGTGAGGAATGCAGCAGGAAGTAATCTTGATTCAAGATGTGCCTTCCTCTATCCCATACTGGAGGCAAAGCTGGGAAGTTACAAGTCTCTGCTTTTCTCCTTTCTTGTCCTATACTGAGATGACTGACTGGACAGAAATGCCCAATCCTGGCTTGTCCCTAATACCATTCTTCACTTAAGACCTAATGAGATTCAGCTTAACTCTGTAAAATGCTGTCAAGACTGCTAGTTCATGAGTGTTAAAGGAATGAATAAATTTTACCATGTTCATGAGGATCATATACTGGAAAATATTTTGAGAAAGTCAAACATTGTGAAGCTACTGGAGATCACTATGTCTGTAATGAGGGCAGATGTTTATCTGGTTCTGGCTCCCTCTGGAAGATATTAATTTCTGAGGCCTCCGGGGATAACAGTGGAGTGGAGAAAAATCCTCATGTGAAAATGATGTCAGCCAAATTGTCCATTTCCTTCATAAGTCATCTTCACTGTAGGTGCCTCTGGGTCGTGTGGCTACCCCTTCTCTCTGCCTGGAAGTGTCTACCCATCTCTTTGTCTGGGTAAGTGCCTCCCCAAGACCCTCGTGCATTTTTGGTTTCCAGATTAATAAAGTTCACTGTCTGATCCTGTAGTGGCTTCTGCCTGCTTCCATGAAGAGATTCAATGGGATTTGAGTGCTTGCAGTGAGGGGTTAGAGAGAGAAAGGAGGAAAAGAATGAATTATGACTAAGGTTGCAACCCTGGTGACATGAACAAATAGAAAGTACATAACCAAATAGTTATGGCAAGAATAAAATTATTTAAGAATAAAAATGATTTAATATTTGGTGAAATTGAGTTGGATGTGATGGTGAGAATAATATGCAAGTGCTTAAAGGGTCAAACAGTTGGATGGTAGACTTGTGGACATGGTAAGATTTTTGTTTGTTTTAATTATTATTAAATTTTATTAGTTTTAATGAACATTTACAGAGGTTTTGGGTTCTCATTCATTCATTGTTGGTAAGACTTAATCTAATCACCAGGCAACGTGTCCCTCTGCTTATATTTCTGTTCCCCTTGGGAATGTTCAACTTCATCTTTTTACTACATAGAATACACTCAGTAAGTGACTAAAATAGCCATCCCTCTGCCATCACCATAGACTGAAGCAGATAACTATGGATTCTGTGAGAGTAAGCATTTCAGGGATGGGAAAATTAAATCATTATCTGAGTGACTAGGCATGTGGGCACTATACTCCACTGTAACAGACTTGAGTCTTATTTGGTCATCAGATCTATGACAGTATGTGTGCAGATGATAGGCAATTAGAGTCAGGATCAAAGAGCAAGAAGTTAAGTGACCGTGGAATTGGAGACAGAAGGGAACCCATAGAATGGTTATCTGCTGTTTGAGCGACTTAAAACTTGGGTCTTGAAGCTCTGTCCTCATCTTTTTATTATTCAGTAAAAGATAAATACATTGGTGCCTAAATGTCTCAGACTCTGTGGGGAGAGAGGCAAAATAACGTGTTGTTGTTGTTGTTGTTGTTGTTATGTGCCGTCGAGTTGCTTGTGACTCATAGCGACCCTATGTACAACAGCCTTAAACTCTGCTCTGTTCTGTGCGAATTGCACTGTCTCTGACACTCCCATCCCAATTACCCTAGTCACTGAATCAATTCACCTCAGAAAGGGCCTTCCCCTCCTGTGCTGTCCCTCCACCCTCCCAAGCATGATGTCCTTCTCCAAGGACTAGTCCCTCCTTACAACATGTCCAAAGTTTGTTAGACGGAGCCTCAGAATCTTTGCCTCCAGGGAGCCACCTGGTTTAACCCTTTCCAGGACGAATCTGTTTGTTTTCCTAGCAGTCCATGGTATTCTCAATACTCTTCTCCAGCACCACAGCTCAAAGGCATCAATTCTCCTTCTATCTTCCTTGGTCATTGTCCAACTCTCTGATGCATAACAAGTGATTGCAAAGACCATGGCCTGTATCAGATGCACCTTAGTCTCCAGAGAGACACCACTGCTCTCAGTACTTTGGAGAGGTCCCTAACAGCAGACTTTCCCATGGCAATATGCCTTTTAATTTCCTGGCTGCTGGTGTCAGGAGTGTTGACTGTGGAGCCAAGCAAACTAAAGTTGTTAACAATCTCAGTCTCTTTACCATCCATCCTGATGCTGCCAATTGGCCCAGTGGTGAGAATCTTTGCCTTCTTGACATTGAGCCTCAATCCATCTTGGAGGCTGCAGTCCTTGACCCTCTGCAGCAAGCACTTTTCAGGTCTTCCTCAGTTTCAGCAAGCAGGGTTGTGTCATGTGCATAACGCAGATTGTTGATAGATCTTCCACCAATCTTGACCCCACATTTCTCCTCATAGAGCCCCACCTCCCGGATAATCTGTTCTGCATACAGGTTGAAAAGGTATGGAGATAGGATGCATCCCTGGCGTACGCCCTTCCCAATTTTGAACCAGATGTCATGGGGACATCTCCTCATGCAGTTGTACATTCACTGTTTTCTCGAAAATTCAGTCCTAGTCTCATGGTTTAACAAATTAATCTCTTTCTTAAAAGTCTGAGTGTTCCCTTGCTCTGTTCTGACTACTGCCTCCTGGTCCAAGTATAGGTTTCGCATTAGAACGATCAAGTGTTCTGGGATCCCCATTCTTCTAAGAGTCAGTCAGAGTTTGTTATGATCCACGCAGTCAAATGCCTTTGCATAGTCAATGAAACACAGATAGACATTCTTCTGGTATTCTCTGCTTTCAGCTAAGATCCATCTAACATCAGCAACAATATCCCTAGTACTACAACCCCTTCTAAACCCAGCCTGGACTCTGGCAGTTCTCTGCTGATGTCCCCTTCCAGTCATTTTTGGATAATCTTCAGTAGAATATTGCTTGCATGTGAAATCAATGAGATTGTTCTATAGTTTCCACACTGTGTTGGGTCACCTTTCTTTGGGATGGGAACAAATGTTACTTTTTTTAAAATCTAAAAGCTGGTAATAACAAGCTATAGAGTTGGAGATGTCCCCATGACATCTCCTCATGCAGTTGTGTATTCACTGTTCTCTTAAAAGTCCAGTCCTAGTCTCGTAGTTTAACAAGTTAATCTCTTTCTTAATAGTCTGAGAAATGGCAGACATCTCGCTGCTGCCATCACATATGATGGCATTATTATGTAAGTCTACAGGGATGCAGGATAGGAGGGAGCATGCTTCTTCTCCTTTCTTTAAGCATCCATGTCATGATAGGATCCAGGATAGGAGGGATGCAGGATAGGAGGGAACATGCTTCTTCTCCTTTCTTTAAGCATCCATGTCACGATAGGATCCTGTGATGGCCACACCACTATCTCTAGACTCAGAGTTCCTTGGAATTTTGGTCTCAGGAAAATAAGGTCTCTTTTTTTTTTAAATTAATTTTGGTGAAAGTTTACAGAGACTTAGGTTTTCCATTAATTTATTGTTGCACTTTTCTCCCTGCCACCCCAATTCACTCTTGTCCTTGAAAAGTAAACCAAGAACTCTTTCATTGTTATGTAATTCCCTCCCCCGAAGTACACTCCACTGTGCAGCCTTCATTCTGAACTCCTGTCATGACAATAATAGCTAATCATAAAACCCTTTTAAACAGTTCTCTCCCTCATCTGTTTCAATGCAGTATACATCATTCCTCCCCTCCTTCTCTGTTTTCCCTCAACCCCGATGTCAGTCTCATCTTACAATAGTGGCCCTATGCAATATTTGTCCTTTTGTGACTGAGATATTTCACTCCTCCAGGGTCACCCATTTTGTATAATATTTCATGAGTTCCTTGTTTTTCAATGGTGCATAGTATTTCATTGTGAGAATACACCAGAGCTTTTCTATCCATTCATTTGTTGATGGACATTTGGGTTGTTTCCAACTCTTTGCTATTGCGAACAAAGCCACAATAAACATGGGTGTGCATATATCTTCCTGGGTGGTGATTATGGTTTCTTTAGGGTAAATTCCCAGTAGTGGAATTGCTGGGTCAAATGGTATTCCTATTTACAACTTTTTGAGAAAGCGCCATACCACCTTCCACAGTGGTTGCACCATTTTACACTCCTACCAACAGTGAATAAGGGTTCTAGTTTCTCCACAACCTCGCCAGCATTTGATGTTTGCTGTTCTGTTAAATTTTCTTATTTTGACTGGGATGAGATGACATCTCATAGTTGTTTTGTAGGTCCCTTAAGGGTTCAAATGTTCTCTTATTTTGTGTCAATTCATTTATCTCTGTTTACATCTATCCATGTTAATGATTCTTGTTTAGCCATTATACTAAATTTCTTAAATATCTTCCCAACCTCACTTTTCTTAATTTTTTTGTTTTTGTTTTTACAGCCTTCTCTTCTGATTTTTGACAGAGATGTTATCAAGAAGCATTCTCCTTTTACTGACAACTTCTAGCTTTGCTCAATTCAACTACTGGTAGAAGAAATCCATGGATCTGGGAACGTCGAGAAATGGTTCCACTGTGACTGAGTTTATCCTGCTAGGCCTAACAGAGTCTCCAGTTCTACAGCCCGTTCTTTTTGTGATCTTCTTTCTTGCTTATGTAGCTACGGTTGGTGGTAATTTCAGTATCCTGGCTGCCATTTTTATTGAACCCAAACTCCACACCCCTATGTACTTCTTCCTGGGAAACCTGTCCTTGCTGGACGTTGGCTGTATCACCGTCACTGTCCCTGCGATGCTGAGGCATCTCATTTCCAATGACAGGAGCATTCCCTACAGATCCTGCCTCTCACAGCTCTTCTTCTTCCATCTCCTGGCTGGGGTGGACTGCTTCCTTCTGACTGTCATGGCATATGACCGCTATCTGGCCATCTGCCAGCCCCTCACCTACAACACCCGTATGGGCTGGGGAATCCAACGAGTCATGGTGGGCATGTCATGTGTCTTTTCCTTCTCCAATGCACTGACCCAAACTGTTGCTTTGTCTACTCTTAAATTCTGTGGCCCTAATGTGATCAATCACTTCTACTGTGACCTCCCACAGCTCTTCCAGCTCTCTTGCTCCAGCATCCAACTGAATGAGAAGTTGCTCTTTGTAGCAGCAGCTTTCATGGGCGTGGCCCCCTTGGTCCTCATCACTGTGTCCTATGCCCATGTGGTGGCTGCTGTCCTAAGAATCCGCTCTTCAGAGGGCAGGAAGAAAGCCTTCTCTACCTGTAGCTCCCACCTCACTGTAGTGGGCATCTTCTACGGGACTGGTGTCTTCAGCTACATGAGGCTCGGGTCAGTGGAGGCTTCAGACAAGGACAAAGGGATTGGCATCCTCAACACTATCATCAGTCCCATGCTGAACCCACTCATCTACAGCCTTAGGAACCCCGATGTGCAGGGTGCCTTACGACGGGTACTCATGGGGAAATGGCCCTCCAAGTGAGACATTTCCCTCCTCCAGCCTGAAGAACATCATGACCCCACCTATTGCTTTTGAGAGATACTGTGATCAGTGCAAGTGGAGCGTGGGTATGATGAAATAAGATCAGAGACTGGCCTACAAAGGAGCATGATGAAAGAACAAACCTGTTGTCTCACGCACCAATTCTGATCCACAGAGACCTAGGTGTTAGAATAGGACTGCATTCCTTAGGGCTTTCTTGATATACTCTATGAGCAGATCACCAGGGCTTTCTTCCTTGGCATTGCTGAGGAGGTTTGAAACACCAACCTTTAAGTTAGTTGTTTAAGTACAAACCATTAGGTGATAGCTATCATGTATATCAGCTACTCTGGGCCAGGACTTGTTGACGTATATCAGCAATAGACACATATTAGCTTATTTAACCTTATAATAGTCCTAAGAGGTAAGAACTATTCTTGTTCCCAGTTGACAGGTGAGGAAATTGAACTTACCTAACATCTTATAAATGTCAGGCTTATAAATGTCAGAGCTGAGATGAACCTAGGCAGACAGTGCCTTTAACCAGTGCCTCTCAAAAGTTATGCATCACTTCAAGAAGGAATGATTTCCTAAAGATGGTGTGGGAGAGGTGGACAGTGAAGAATAAAGAAAGGAAGAAAATCAGTGTTCTGGGGAAACAACTCTTTAAAGAAATGAAAACATTAATGAAGAAGTTTTGTTCTTTTAACAAATTTGGTTTGCTGTTGTTTTTCTTGAGTGGTTGCCACAGGCTGAAGGAAGTGCTAACAGATAATTCCAGCAAGCAAACAAGCTAAGAGAAAAGAGACGTTAAAATTCAATGTAGAAATGTATGAGTAAAGTGAGCTGATGTGAGAAAAGGAGGAGGTGACATAGTGACAAGAAACTGCACTGCAATCCCAAAGACACGCCATTCGAATCTACCAGCTGCTCCACGGGAGAAGGAGGGGAGTCTCCTCCCCTGTGATTCACTGCCTCTGAAAACCCACCGGAGGGTCAGCTATGGGTTGCTTTGACTTGGCAGTACAACAATCACAACAACTTTGTTATTTTTACTTTATATCAACAATAGCAAAACTTTATGTAATAATATTAATCAGAAAAAGTGATTTAGTTCAAATGACATTTTCTTTGGTTACTAAAGGGAAATTTTTGCAAGCTCTGACATATACCTAAAATCAATCCTCTCACTTTGCATTGCCTTAAGAAGAAAGGTATTTTTTTCTATCTATACAAGTTGCAGCTTTTTCCCTAGAAAGCAGTAAAAATTTATGCTTATTATTTAGAAATTAGGAAATATGAAAAGAGTAAAAGAATAATTACATAAAAGTCTATCATTCTGAAATAATCATTAAGGATATGCTAAATATAATAAAGTTTTTCATATGTGCAGAAAAAAAGGATCATATAACACCTAAAGCTTAGTGGCTGGCTTTTTTGTTTGTCTATTTTATAATATTAGTTACAATGCTTTTGAAATTAATCAAGTCATAAAATTGATCAATGCCTTATATTGGTTCTAAGCAAATCCCCACTGTCATATGCCTATCGCTCCGCCCTCACATTCATCCACTGGTTTCTGTTGCCCTTGTGTTTCTTCATTCCTCTAATTCTCTTCCTCCTTATCTCTCATTCCCCCCCTTTTTGAACTGTTACACATGTCCAAGCTGCTAGTTGCAATACCTATGTTTCCATGGCACCAAATATATATCATCTTTATCTTTTCCTGCAGTTTTTATACTACTCCTTTAACTAGATGGGACAAAAGAAATTTAACAATCCTCTCTTTGTTGAGAGTTCTAGTGCAGTAATTTGTTGCAAGTTGTGTTACTAATCCAAAAACTGCTGCATGCCCGGCAGTTCAAATTCACGAGTGGTTCCCCAGAAGAAAGAAGGGAGGGTATCCTCCCACCGTGATTACAGCCCTAGAAACATGGAGGTTCACTATGATTCGGAAGTGATTCAATAACAGTGAATTTGTATTTGAGTATCTGTGAAATTGTATTACTTCAAATAACCTTAGCTGTATGAACTGTTGCAACAAACATCCTCACACATTCATTTGTGTAGACTCATCTAATTATTTGCAGGTGGTAAAGTCCCATGAGTGGAGTTCCTTTGTTGTTTTTGTTAGGTGCCATCAAGTAGACTACAGCGTATAGTGACCCTATGAGAACAGAAGCAACCCTTGCCCTCTCCTGTGCCACCCTCATGCTCTCTATCACGCTCAGGCTCATTGTTAGAGTTATGCTGTCAATCCATCTTGTGGAGGGTTTTTCCCGTTCTCTCAAACCCTCCTGCTTTCTTAGTACAATGTCCTTTTACAGGAATTAGCCCCTCCTGACAACATGCCAAAAGTGGGTGAGATAAAGTTTCACCGTCCTTGTCTCTAAGGAGTACCCTGGATGCATTTACCCTACGACTGACTTGTTTGGTTTTCTGGCAAGCTGAAGGATATTCAGTACTCTTCTCCAACATCACAATTCAAAGTGATCTCTTCTTTTGTCATCCTTACTCATTGTCCAACTTTTAAATGATTAGAAATCAAGTGAGTTCCTGGGTCAAAGAAAACATTAACTGTTTCAAAGTACTTGAAAGCATATTGCCAAATTGTCCTTACAGAGGTTGAGCTAATTGGCATTTCCATATTATCAGTCTTGAGTGATAAGATTGGCTGGATGTATCTCAAGACCCCTTTGACTTAAAATTATTTAATGACTAGTAAAATTAACTATCTTTACCTGTACATCAGTGACCTTCATTATGTGGAAGACACACCTTGCTTGCTGAAAGTGAGGAGGATTTGAAGCACTTGCTGCAGAAGTTAAAACACTGCAGCTTTCAGTATGGATTGCATCTCAATGTTAAGAAAACAAAAATCTTTGCCACTGGACAGTAGGCAGCATCATAGCAGATGGAGAAAAGATAGAAACTGTTAAAGACTTTGTCTTATTTGTATCCACAATCAATACACTTGATACCAACAGTTAGGAGATCAGGAGATGAATTGCACTGGGAAAGCCTGCAGTTAGGGACCTTTCCAAATTATTGAGGAGCAATTTTTCTTTTTTAGTTTGAGGACTAAGGTGCACCTGATCCAGGCCATGGTCTTTTCAGTCAGTTGTTGTGCATCTGAGAGCTGGACAATGAATAAGGATGACAGAAGAAAAATAGATGCCTCTGAACTGTGGTGTTGGAGTACTGAATATCCCATGGACTTCCAAAAGAACAGACATTTGTATTTTGGAGATAAAATACTCCCTGGAGGTAAGGATGACGAAGCTTTGTCTCATAGACTTTGGATCTGTTTCTAAGAGAGGTTATTCATTGAAGAGGGACATCATGCTTGGAACAGTGGAGGGATAGTGAAGGAGAGGAATACCCTCAGCTGGGTAGATTGACACAGCAACTGCAGGCAGTGGGTTTCAGTATGTCAGAGACTGAGTGAGAACAGAGCAGAATGGTCAGGGCTCAAATATGTTGTTCACAGGGTTGCTATGAGTCATACTTGACTTGATGACACTCAACAACCAGTATGTTAAAGATCAATGAAAATGTCATTTTTGGCAAAAGCATGAAGGTATTGAGAAACACCTATGTAGAAGAAATGGAACCTAAACCAAGTATTTTTTTCTTTTTATGGAAATTTTCATGACATTTTATAGAGACTTTGGATTTCCATTCATTCATTGTTGCGTATTTTCCTCCCTGCCTACCCCTCCCCCCAGTTGGTTTTTCTCTTTGAAAAGTAAAAAAAAATATATATATATATATTTTTTTTTTTTTTTTTTTTTTTTACATTATTCTACAACCTCTCCCTCACCTCCACTCTGCCCCGAGTCTACTCCACCATGCAGCTCTCATTCTGGGCTCTTGTAATGAAAATAATAGCTAATCATATATTTCTTTCAAATAGTTTTCTCCCTCATCTGTTTCAATGCAGTATATATTATTTATCCCTCTTAGTTTCCTCCCAAACCCGATGTCAGTCCCATTTTACAACAGTGGCATTATTCAGTATTTGTCCTTTTGTGACTGCAATATTTCACTCAACATAATGTCCTCCAGGGTCATCCATTCTGTATAATATTTTATGAGTTCCTTGATTTTCAATGCAGCATAGCATTCTATTGTGCGAATATACCACAGCTTCTCTATCCATTCATTTGTTGATAGGCACTTGGGTTGTTTCCAACTCTTTGTTATTGTGAACAAAGCAGCAATAAACATGGGTGTGCATATATCTGCTTGGGTGGCAGTTCTGATTTCTTCAGGATATATTCCCAGTAGTGGAATTGCTAGGTCAAATGGTATTTCTATTTCCAACTTTTTGAAAAAGCGCAATACTGGTTTCCATGGTGTTTGCACCATTTTACACTCCCACAAACAGTGAATAAGGGTTCCAGTTTCTCCACAACCTCACTAGCATTTGTTGCTTGCTGTTCTATTAAATTTTGCTATTCTTACCGGGATGAGATGATATCTCACTGTTGTTTTGATTTGCATCTCTCTTAGGGCTAGGGATTTTGAACATAGATAGATAGAAATTGAAATAACTTCAAAACTTAATGTGAAAGAAAAAAAATCATAAACTAGAATCAGGTTCTCTAGAATCTAGCCAGAGTTCAACCATGCATCCTGTGTCTGATTTGCCAAGGACTTTGAGTCTTATTTTTTTCCTCCCAGCCATTTAGTTTCTCAATTCTTTGGGACATTGGGAAACTAGAATGATGTCATGTATCTAATATTTCTTTGTTGTTGTTGAGTCATCTGCGATTCATAGTGACTCTATGAACAAAAGACCTGAACCTCGCCCTATCCTGCTCCATCATTGTCTCCACTATGCTTATGTCCATAGTTACAGTCACTGTGTCAATCCATCTTGTGGAGGCTCTTTCTCTCTTTCTCTGACTCTCCACCATTCACATCATGGTGTCTTTATCTAAGGACTGGTCCCTCCTACCAACATGCCCAAAATATGTGAGATGAAGTGTCACCAT